AGAAAATTTCCTCTTAATTGCTAAGATAATCAAAATTGAAAATTACTCTCAATTACAACCCCAACATACCAAAATTACATATTAGTAAAAAATAAAAGGGTTTTATTGTATGGATGCACTGGAACACATTAAGATGATATCCAGTAAATGGTATGACAATCTTTAATTCCAACTAAATATTGACATTCAATTTTGTTTTCACCCTAGGATTCCAAGAAAAAACCAAAAATATGTAGACTTGATTGTTAGGACCTGACCGTACACAATCACCTACATTAAACCCCAGAGGCCAGAACAGAATTTTTCTTTAAACATTAACCCACCCCACCCATCAATTTCTAAAAACTGGCCACTATCAGAGTAGACCTCACACATATCTGGAACAACTCCCAGCTGATACATTAAACTAAACTTAGTCTCCTGTTATCTCTGAGAGTGGGAAGCATGAGTAACAGAGGAAGAGCCAAGTTACCCCTTCTGCCAAATTATGTATTTATGTATTTTTTAATATTTTAAGAAACTTTTTCCAACAATTCTCAAAAAACGTGCTCAGGTAGTTGACTTATCAAGATAAAATGATCTTTGTAAAAATCCTCTAGCTCTGTTTCATATTTTCACTAATTTTACTTTCCCTTTGCATCAAGGTGAGTTCATTTCTTTAAAAGAATTGAAATCTGGCACTCACGAGGGTGTCCAATAATGTCCTGAGATTGTTTGATGGATGCTAAAATGCTAGTATCCGGTAAGCTCAACACTGATTCAACAAGGTAGTTAGGTATACAAGTAGTTACTAATTAAGAGCTGTAGATTTTTATGGAGACTCTAAAGAAATACTACTCACTAAGAAGCTATTGACAACAACAAAAATACTTTTATAAGTTGAGAAAAACTCAGTTTCCAAGAAATACAACTTTTTCAAAGGCACCATTAAACTCATGCTTAACGGGAGAGACACCCCATAGTACAGATTTCAGTTCTAAGTTACACTGACTATAATCATGTTCTCATGTAAAAAATAGTCAAACTTTGATCAAATGCAAATGTATTAAAGAAACATCCTGTTGTGTTCATTAGTCTTTCCACTGTATTGTTTCTGAGATTTTGTTCAATCTTTTTTTCCCTTAACTATTTAAAAAAAATTTCTTTTTTTTTATTTTAGAGAGAAGGGGGGAAAGAAAAATATCAATTTGTTCTTCCGCTTATTTATGCATTCACTGGTTGATTCTTGTATGTGCCCTGAATGGGCATGGAACCTGCAACCTTGGCCTATCAGGACGATGCTCCACCCAGCTGAACTACCCAGCCAGGCTTGTTCAACTTTTATCTGTGCGAATATCATACTATACTGAAACTTTCATCTTTATCAAAGTTATGCCCACAAGACAAGAAACTGCTGAGCTCCTTGGAAATAGGGATTTACCTCATTCATTTATTTAGCACCTGTATAAAGCATGTGCCAACTTGACACAGCAGATCCTCAACAAATGTCCACTTATGGAAACAAAAATGTAACCTACCTGACACATGGCACTTCCTCTATGGTACATCTCACAGAACTGTTAACAAGTAAAATTAAAATTAGATGGCTTAGACCAATTTGCATCAGTCCTAGTCACATTTCTAGAGGGCACATTTGGTTTCTCCTAACAAATCCTTCCCCTTTAGAAAATTCCTCAAGCTCTTCAAACAGAAACTTACCAAAAACAAAAACCTTCCATTTGTATGGCCATAAAAATACAAAGGAAGTTAAATCCATTGGTCTGGACAAAAATCAGAGGATTATCAACACGGGACATTTCCTCATTCTTGGTGGCAGCTAAGTGCATTTTAAAAATTACAACACACCAGCCAAACAAGCTTTAGTATCTGGGACCCAGACAAACACGCTATGTGGCTAAGCTGACAAGCCCGAAGCAAGCTGATCAACAATCACTATGGCAGGAATTCACACGATATAAAATTAAAACAAATGGGAACTAGCATTAAATTTTCAATAGACAATAAAACTTCAGCGGGGAATGGGACCAGCGGAGGAATGTAAATATTTTCCAAGTCCCCTAGATCTAAAATTGGCACAAGAAGTTTGAGGGGAGGAAAAAAGTGTTTATTTCTCAATCAATTGAAGGATTTGCCACAAGTTCTATTTCTGCCCTGCTAGGTCCTTTTTTGTCTGGTGGACAAAACAAATCCACTTTTCAACACTAGGTCTTGGTTTGTTCAAGTTCTACCTAGAAGGATGATGTCATTTAATACCCTTTCGGGACACACATCCATCCACATGTTTAAAATATGCCAAATGACTTGCTTTAAAAAAAAGCAATCAACACTTGCTCTTATGACAACTACTCAAGCCACATAAGACCAACTGGAGTTAGGACAGGGAAGGATCCATAGGAGGCCCACAGAGAAGCTAAACAGTGAGGAGAGACCCTCAGATGACCTACCTGGAAACAGCTCATCATCGTGTGAAGAATCTAAGGAGAAGTCCAATGATAATTTACGTCTCCTAAGAGCAGTCTCCTCATCACCAAACCTTCTTGTGTGGGAAGTGAGACTGGGAGGCACAGGGTGACCTGAGCGGCCTCTGATAAGGGGCGGGGTTAAGGATTCCCATCCCAGCCTCTGCCTACTGCCTGTGGGCTGGGTTTATGTAAATGAACAGGTGACTTATATATATTAGTGGCTGCTGCCTCCAGTCCGAGAAGGTGTAATCCCCACTATCCTTTAAACAACTGAAGGTGACGTGAGATGACACCGATAACAGCTAAGGCTCACTGAGTACCTGCTACTGAGTACCTGCTACGCACTAGGCCTCCTGCTCACTTAACACAACAGTCTTAGGAGGTAGGGATCATTATCATCCCATTTTTATAGATAAGGAATGACAAAGCACAATCTGTTCAAAGACAAAAAGCTAGTATGTGTCAGGCCCAGGACTTGAACACAGGAAGTCATATTTAGGAGCCCAAACTCTCCATTACTTGCTCAAAACAGTGTCCAAATAGGAACATAAAACTCTCTACTTACAGAGTATTGGTTTCTCACCTCGCCTGGGTGATGATCCTAAATTTGGTACCTTTTTAAAGATTCCACATGAGGTTGCCAACTTCCCAGATACAGCACTAGCCTGCTGCCTGCTCCTATGAAGTCTTCCCTTCCGCTCACCTCCCTGGCTGGACACAGGTAGCGCCATGCTGGCCTGGCGTGCCAAGAAGCCCCAGATGCCTGGGGGAGGGGGGGTGGCAGGGGGGCAACAAAACAAAACAAAACAGCTGGAGGCTGGCTTCCTCTTGGGACACACTAGCTCTCAAATTTCCTGCCTGCTTTAGTACAGAGAGGTGTCACCGCACACAAGGAGGACAGGAATACCACCAAAGGCTGGGGCTGTACCTCACTGACCTACCTATAAGCCTGAGGCCACCCCAGCAGGCATGAAAGAAGAGTATTCAAGCTGCTCTGGTTTCAAAGTTCCCCTCAGGAGCTGATCTTAAGGAGACAGACACTGAGCAGAAAGGCATCGTCTTTTCACTGCACCCAGCAACAGTAATGCCACTTGACAGGAAGGAGGAGACCCATCTCTGCGTGGGGAAGGAAGGAAAAGAGAGGAAACTGATAGGCTCCAGGAGCCACCCGCTACCTCTACATGGTACTGTGCCAGGACCTTGGCAGCTATCACTCTGGGAAGCCCCCGCATTTGTGACCATGTTCAACTGTGCTGAACACTGAAGCCAGCACCCGTGGGTCTCAATTCCACCTGAGCTAACACATGGCTCCTTAACGCTCCTCTGCCATGTGTTACTCTTTCAACGAAATGTGGGACAGACGATTTAAAAGGCTGTGTGACGGGGGAAGGGCAGCCAGCTCACCTTACGTCCAGGCTTCTTCATCAGGCCTCCTCAGATTCCCTTTGGGGGCCAGTACTATCAGCTACAAGGGAGATTTTCCCCAAACTGGCATTAAGGAGCACGTGTTCCAGCTAGTGAGAGGGGAGTTTTGATGGGGAGTGGGAGAGAGGACGCTGGGGGACGCAGGCAAATCACACCCTCTTGCACCCTACACAGGAGGGCAGTGTCTTACTCCAGGGGGCAGGCTGTGCATGCCAAGGCTCTGACAAGCGGGGGTGCCCTGAGGACCCAAGGGCTAGAAACTGCTCCTGCAGAAACTGCAAAGCGAGGAAGAGCAATGGGAGAAACCCAAGCTAAAGTCACCACCACACCATGGAACCAGTCCCCGTCACAGGCCAGTCCTGTCCCCTTGCTGTGTCCACGCCCACCAGCCTCCACTGGGTCTACGGTCCATCAGGCAGGATCACCCGGGAAAGCCCTTCCACTCCCACAGCCAGCCCCACCACCCTCGGGCCTTCAAATGCTATAGCGTATAACCTTGTCCCCCTTTTGCAGATGGGGAAACTGAGGCATCTAAAATTACTGTGCTTCCTCAAATCAGGTGAAGTTTGCTTCTCTCAGTACAATTTTTCACTTTTTTACAGCTTTATGACATTTCAAATATCTCCAGATACACCGATTGCCTTTGCAAAGTGAATTTTACGTACAATTTAAGGAGTGAACTCAAAATGAGAGGAGGGCGGTCAGGGAGACCGGCAGGGCTTCTTCCACCGCAAGGACAGTATGGGTGCCCCCCATCCCCAGCTTGTCCCTTAACCCCCCTCCCCCGGGACGTCCGGGTTCGGCCTCCCCAAGACGCTTGCACTGCAACCCGAGGGCGGAGGCACGCGGCGCGGCCGGGGACTGGCGGGCGGGCTCCCAGGTCCCAGCGCAGAGAGCGGGGCGGAGGGCTCGGGGCCCCTCCCCGAGGGACACCGGGGCTGCGGCCGGCCGGCCAGCCTGCGGCCGGGAACTTCTAGCTGCGCCGCGCAGACCCCACCGCCCCTCGTCCCCACCCCCACCCTGCTGCCGGGCGACTGTGCGGCTCGGGTTTCCCTTTCTTTGCCTCGCCGCGCCTCGGGCGCGACCCCCGAGGCGGCCGCGGCGGCCACTCACCATATTACAGATGGAGGCGATATTTCGGACAGTCATTAGTCTAAAGGTTGCAGCGATCCCGCACCGCCATCTTTATAAGGTGAAAACAGGACTGTCCATGGTGGAGCGCTCGCAGGGAGGCCGGGCGGCGGCGGGGCGGCGGCGGGAGGCGGCCTGGGGTCCGGCTTTCAGTTTGGCTGGGAGATTGGAGGCCGGGAGGGAGGAGGCGGAGGCGGGGAGGGCGGGGAAGGCGGGGAGAGCGGGAGGGAGAGCGGAGGGCGGGGATTGGCGGAGCCCGGAGCCTGGGCCGCGGCCGGCGGCGCGGAGAGGAAGGGCGGCCCGAGCGCGCCGCGTGCTGCCCGCGCCCCGCGCCCCCCGCCGTGCGCCTGGCCGCGGCTCCGGCTCTGCGGCTCCTCCTCCCTCCGTCCGCGCCCCAGGCCAGCGCGCTCAACCTTTTTCTTTTCCTTTATATTTCCTGCTTCACTATATTTGGGCTGAAATGCGGGGCCCGGGCCCTCGCCCGCACGGCTGCGGCAACCGCACAGCGCGGATCCCCCGGGTCGACCCAGATGCGACGGGGGCGGCCTCCTCGGGGCCCTTGGCGCCGCCGGAGAACCAGGGACAGCGCCGGGCGTTGGGCAGCGCCCGATGGATGGGCCGCGCCTTCGGCAGATAGCCGGCTGCGGGGGTGGGCGCCTGGGCCCCGGGCACGGACGCCGCGGAGAGGGCCGGCCAGGAAACGCGGCCGTTTTCTGTCTTCACTTTTTCTTGCCTGCCTCCGGTCTCCCAACGGCCCTGGATCGTTATATTTTGGCGAGTAGAGAACGAAGAGGGGTAGGGGTGACTAAGGCCAACTTTCATTTTCTCCCCGGGGTTGCAGCCAGACGGCACCGGCGGGCACCCAAGAAGTAAATGGGGTCAGGACATGGGAGTGTCAGAAAGCCCTGGCCAGCAGCGGGCCGGCTGCCTGCTAAAGGGCGCCGTTCGGGGAGAGGAATCTGGGTCTGGGTGGAGGCCAGAGCGACGCGCTCAGGCAGTTTGTGACATTAGCAGGTACAAAGGACAAGTCTCGGTTCTGGGCAAGGGGTGGATCTGAGAAGCAATTAATCCAGAAAGAACCAAACTTCAACTCATCTTAAAACCCTCTCTCTCTCTCTCTGGGGCACCCAGTCTCTTCAGGTTTTGTGATGGATGCTGTACTAGCTTAGACACATTTCGGGCATGAAAGGTCGTGGCTCTGGCTCAAAGAGCAAATCTACACCGCTTAGCAGATGTATTCATGCGAAGCGGAGGAGCCCATTAACTAGTGTGTGAAACAGTTCTGCATACGAGGTAGCAATTCGATGCTTTCAACAGGAAAAGTTGTACAAATGAAACGCGTGGTAATTCTTAAACCAATATATCTAATGGGATTGAATTAGAAGAGAATCTAATGTAACTGAAGGTCGCTTTTATCTAACCAAGGGAAAATACCACACTTCCTATTCTCCATTATCTGTTTAGTGTTCTACACTAAGATTTGAGAACCGTTGATGCTAATATCCCAAGGACGTGGGTGGAATAAAAGGTAACTGCTGACCAAAGTTTCGTGGGGTCTTACTGGCTCTGTATATTTCAGTGGATTTAAGGAGTAGGTAGATTCCTGCTTATGTTTAGTCATCCTGCCTACACCTGGTGAACAGGTCCTTACCCTGGTGATCCCTAACTTAGATTTCTTACCATTGCCAGGCATGATCCTCTTTTATCACCTTCAACGACCACAACCGTCCGGAGCTATTCTCATCACCTTTTGCAGATCAGTAAAATAAAGCTTAGAGTATCAAATACCCCTCCTCAATCATGTTACCCAAATGTTATCAATGAAGTTGGTGTGCTAACCTGGCTGAGCACCTTGAAAGAGGAGAAAAAAAAACCCAGCAAAGTACCTGAACTATGGCCAGTTGGGTAACAGGCCTAGGAAGGTGTAAAGACTTGAGAAAGGCCACAAAACAAGTTCAAGAGCAATTTCAAGGCTAAACTCAGGCCCCCGGACTCAATTTTGTAGACATTCCACTATGAAGGCATTAATCCAAAGCCTTGAATGATATGGAAATTTTATACTATAATAGAGTTCAGTGTTTCTGCCAGCACTGGCACTGTGGATTACAAAGGGCACAGGACTGAAACGCCACTGACATAATGAAAATTGAACATCATCTGATTACTGAGTGCTATTATCAGCAGGTTAAAAGAATCTTTTGCATGCCTTTTAACAGTGTATAGACTGAAACTGGAGTGTTCATTGTAGACAAACATCCAGACTGAAACTCAGTCAGTGAATTACATACACTACAAATCAATTGAACCCAGCAGCAGATCTTGTCAGGCTTATGCATAATTAAATATTTTCACACTACTACCAGGTTGGTATTCACAGGTGTAAATTGGAAAAGGCACCAATTGAAGAATAATCATTAACTTCAGCTTTACTCTGCAAGGGAACATTATTTGCAAGTGGCAGGAGGTAAAAATCATGAAAATGTGGACAAGCTAATTAGAAAACTGAGGAAAAGTGCTTCATATATAGGAACTTGCTGGTATGAGAGTATGCAATTAGGACTAGGAAAAGTGGGCAAATGGAAATGTGGGATAGAGGCTAGTACTAAATAGCCTAAATGAGTTTGAGACGCTCACTCCAAGCAGTGTGCCCCTTGCTACCTCAAACGTGGTCCATGAACCAGCAGCACTGGCCTCACCTGGGAACCTGTTAGAAGTGCAGACTCTCCGTTCCCGCTTCAGGCCTACTAAATGAGATTCGGCATGGAAAGTGTGAAGAGCTCTGCTCTCGACAACCACTGTGGTGGCATGCTCTGTTTTGCCTGCCCAGCTCCCAGATTCTACTTTGGGGAACTTTCCCTCTCCCATTCTCAGAACCTAAGGTTCAGGTGTGTCTGACAGCATTCCCCTCCAACTCCAGAGTAAGGTCCCTGATCCAGGCCTGGCCAATGAGAGTGCCTCATAGCTCAGTCACAGTGATTGGTTCAGCAAGGGGGATGTATTAAAAACTGAGCCAATGAGCGTCAGCCCTGGTTTTGGGGCATCAAAGTCCTCCTGCTATCTTTCCACTGCCTGAGCATGAAGCCGACATAGAAAGATGAAGCTGAGGAGTGGAAGAGATACCCTAACAACATCATTTATCCACTTGCTGCCAGATCTGTACCCTGGACTCTTTAGCGACTCAAAGTCAATAACTTTCTTTGGCCAATTCTAATTGTGTGTCTGCTACTCACCACTGAAAGTATCCTAACTACTAGTGCCCTGTCCCCCAAAATTCATTAGGTTCATTCCAAAGTCATGATGTTCCCTTTTCCTCTCTGCTCACTAAACCAATCATTTTTGGGGTGCAGGGGGAGGGCATCTTCCTCCTGCAGGTCTGCCCCCTCACCAGTGAACTCCTTACCCAAGTGGTTCTGCACTCTCCTCTCTGTTGTTACCAGTTTCCTGTCTGTCCCGCTCCTGCTCCCCCTCTTTGCTTAGTTAACACCACTCAAGACTTCCGATGACCCAAGACAAGATGTGAGGCCCTTGTTATATGTTCTTAGAGCACCATTCATCTTCCTTTGTGGACCTTATATTTATAAACATACATGTGTTTACACCATATAGCACACAGCATGGAGGCAGTACAGTAAGGGGTTAAAAAATGAACCCTGGCTCCAGACTGCCTGTACTAACTATATGACCTGAAGCAAGTTTTTTAACCTCTCTATGCCACAATTTATCTGTCTATAAAATGAAGACAGTAAGACTACCCTCAAAGAGTGGATTGCATTTCTGTATGTAAAAAACTAGAAACATGCCTGGCACGTACTAGTCACTGTATGTGATAGCTGCTCTTATTACTGTTCATGTGACTTTTTGATTACTGTTGTTTCTCAACCCTCAATCAGACATGAAAACACAGGCCTGGTTTTACTCATTTGACACCTAAAGAAAGATGCAGTGCCTTGTCCATAGGAGGAGCCAACAAATCAGATATTGAATGCCTGGACAATGGCCTCTCTCCAAAAGGCCTGGAAGCTCCTGGGGGAACGGAACCTTGTCTAGTGAATTTTTTAACAATCTCCTGTGGTCTCAGGCACTGTGCCTGGCACATTCGTTCTTTTCCCTTTTCCCTCGTTGCCAAATAAGTTACTGCAAGCTAATTTGACATGCAAATATTAGTAAACATTTGGTCCCCTTGGGGGGGGGGAATATTTTGCTGGCTGTAGACTCAAGTTTGAAACCAAACTGGCTTCTGTGGATTATATTTCAATTCTGCAAGGAACTTTGTGACAGCCTTTTTCCTTTTTCATCGCGCATTGAACAAATACTTAATACAGGCAGACTGTGCCAGGCGCCATGTGAGGCACTGGTGATCCTGAGATCAAAGAAGGCAGGCAGAGCCCTCGCGTGGCCCCGTTTCAGTGGCGGTGCTTGTTGGCATTGTTTATGGGTGCCTTTGCTACTTTTCACATGCAATTAGTATGAAATAAGGACGAGGTAACTTTGGAGTGAGCATCCAATTAAAATTCCTATAACAGGAATCTAAAATCATCTAGTATCATGAGTGTATTTATGGGTGGTTAAGATTCCCTAAGCCTCGGGAACATTGGGCTTATTTTCAAGTGCCAATTGAAATGCCATTGAAGGATTTTTAAGCTAGGTTGGAACATGATTAGATTTTATTTGCTCATCCATTTTGATTAACTGAAAGAAGAGATTGCTCTACCTGGCACCGCATGGGGAGAGAAAGTTGGAGAACAAAAGCCTCTAGGTGAGGCCGGTTAGAAATCTGCAGTGAGAAAACCCAGAGTTGTCAGTAGCCTAGGTTTTAAGGGAGGAGTGGCAAGGGGTTGGGGCGGGGCGGGGGGGGGGCGGGGGGAGAAGAAAAGAAAGGGGACAGATTGAAGACTTTTTTTTGGGGAGGTACTCAGCTGAATGTGGTGATTGACTGGGATAAGGGACAAGCGTGAGTCAAAGATGAGGCCCAAGATTCTGACTAGAATGAAAGCGGATGTCACTGTTGTACAACAGCGGATGCTGAAGGAGAAGGTTCGGTGTAGTGGTCGGAAGGAAGTGAGTTTGATTTCGGAGGTGCTGGGGTTGGATTACAGGGAAGCACCTGAATACTTGTA